TGTCCCTTGTCCTGTCATTGGCCATCACCGAGAAGAGCCCAGCTCCATCCTCCTGACACTCGCCCTTTACGTATTTATAAACATTGATGAGGTCACCCGTTAGTCTCCTCCAAGCTAAAGAGACCCAGCTCCCTCAGCCTTTCATCATAAGGGAGATGTTCCACCCCCTTCATCATCTTTGTGGCTCTGCGCTGGACTCTGTGGCTTACTTAGTTTTACTTTAAAATAGAGCTGGTTTTTCCCAGTTGAGATACTTAGAGAGACCTATTTCCAGTTGCTTTCAAATGTGGTTCCTGACTTCCATCCTAAGTGTTGTTGCTTCTGTCCCCAAGTCTTATCTGAAGTGCTGCCATAGCCAACACCTTTCTTTTTTTCCCCATCCCTGATGCCAAAGGCGGCCGTATTGTTTGTACTGGCAGGACGTGATACTTGGACGTCCCAGGAGGTATTATCAGAAAAAGCTGGAAAGACGTGACTGTGCAGTGACTTGCCAGGGGTAGCAGTTTAAGGCGCAAGAGCGAAAAAGTTTGTGGAGACACTCGCCTGGTGTCTGAATGCATTCCCCTACTGATACCATAAATGAAAGCTTGAGTTCTCACACATGTCCGCGTTCCTGGTAGCTGGAGTGTTTTTACACGTGTCTCCTTATCTCTGAGGTGTTCGTGGCTGAGAAGAATGTAGGTCAGTAGCGTAGCTGAGGTTTCTGCAAAAGACTGACGTGTCTGTAAGCATATAGACCACATTTGTAATGAGCTTAAGGGTCTTTTCCAACCTAAATGGTTCTGTCATTCTGTCCCTTGTCACCCATTGTGTGAACACACCAACGACTACCGTGTTTTAAAGCTGGCAAGACTAGCTGCACAGTGGTAATTGAAGTGCTGTAAGAAGTCCACAGGTGTGTCCTCTTCCTGCTTTCTCTGAAGTTCCTTTTCACTGAGATTGACAGAAAACAGTGTCACAGAGTCAGGGGCGCTGTCTCTCAGCCTCCTGCAGTAATCAAGGGGAAGGCTGTCCTGCAGTGGTACCACTGTGAAGGCAAAAATGTCACAAGCAGCAAGCTGGCTCTCTGAACCCTGTCATATATCCAGACGTGTTTAACGTATCCCGCCTGGAGAACTGCTGGTGCTGCTTTAGTTACTGGTAACCTGTTTTGTGCTCAAAAAGATGAAAAAGTATTTAATCAAAACCACTGGAACTTACTGAATGCACTGATACATCGCAAAGTATGACACAGGAAACCTCCTGTTTATTCTATGCACTTTTAGCATAAAAGCTGAAGTATCGTGTTTTCCCCAAATGCAGAAACTGCTCATCTTGTTTTAATCTCTGCCGGTTTTGCTGTAATTGGAGTATCTAATAAAATTTAATACTGCTAACCAATATGTGAGTGTAACCTATTTAGTATCTCTAACTTCTAACAGCAAAACTAGATGTGCCCCCTAAACCTAAAAGAGCTCCCAAGGCCAAGAAGGTGGAAACTGTAAACTCAGA